TGTGTTGACTTGGCATTGTACAGAAATGGACAACCATATTGGTATAGCAATGTTAATTTATTTTTATTTGTATTTTTATTTTTTTCCATTTGTACAGGGGTAACCCATCGTACTAAATATGTAAGGTCATATCTACTTGGGTTTGATTACAGAAACTAATAAAGTATTCTCTAAATAATGAAAAAAAATTCTTTAACTGAAATACCGAATAGTTTCTTTGGTGTGAAAAACTACAATAGTACACAGGATCCTAATGAGATAATTAATAATGTGAAATAGGAAGTAAAGGGCTAAAGGTTTAGGGAAATTGGGAAGGGTGGAGGAAAGGTAATAAGGGAGAGGAAAAAATATGAGAAACTGAAAAAATGGAAATAAAGTGTTTGTAAATGGGGAGGGGAGGAGGGGGTGAAGGGAGGGCAGGGACAAGGGGAAAAAAATGATAATCAAGACCTATTATGTAAAGGTACAGAATCCCAATGATGAATGTAATTGTATTGTATACCTAGATTGTACCAATAACCTCAATAAAAAGGGAAAAAAAAACTTGCAGTACAATCTTTTGATTTCAGAAAGACATAACACTGGCCTACTATATGAGGAATAACAACAAAGTAGTATTGGTACTGTCAATATTATACAACGATGATAAGATTGATAGTGAGTCATGGTTCACACCTTTAATCCCAGGACTCAGGAGGCTGAAACAGGAGGATCCTGTGAGTTCAAGGGCAGCCTATGCTACTACAGTGAGTTCCAGGCTAGCCTGGACTACATAGCTAGACCCTGTGTCAAAACCAACCAACCAAAAAAAAAAGAAAAAATTGATAGTAAATCCTCAACACAAATATAGTCAAATGGTCACATGTTACAACCGAACAAAATGTGAAGTAGATATTGTTGATGAGTTATGTGGTGACTATGATGTCACTTGAAACACAAACTGTTGACCAATGGTTTTGTTTTATGTGATCCTAAACAGGTCAGGCATAAATACTTTTATAGTTTACAAAGAAAATAACAAGCACAAAATATATAGAAAAACTTTCTTATAGGATTGGGAATGTAATTGATAAATGATCAATTACAATAGAAGAAGAACAGTGTGTTTATGCCCAAAGAATTCTGCAAAATAATTCCGGAGCAGATTGGTGAACAGACAAGTGGAACATTACAGGAATCTCCTAAAATACAGGAAGACGAGCACGATGTCAAATATGTCCTAACAAAGAAGACAGGAAAACAAAACACATGTTCTATCAGTGTAAGTGATATTTGTGCATGGAACATGCTGTTCTCATGGGTGAAAACTGCCTTAGGTGTGATAATTGAAGTAAAGATTATTTTTGTGATATAATTTATTTCTTCTATTAATTTTTAGAGGACAAAGAGTTGATGTAGAAAGATGTTTATTCTAAACAATCAGTATATATTTGATATTTTATTTTATTTCTATTTTATTTTTCTGCTAAGTAGACATTGTACAATATAACAGGAAGCTCCTGCAAAAAAGAGGAAGACAAGAGAGGTGACAAATACGGCCTGCCAAACAGGAAAGGAAAGCTAAAGACACGCACTGTCCATCTAAGCCAAACTTATGTTTGGAGCATGCTGTTGTCATGTGTGAGACTGCCTTAGGCGTGAAAATTGAAGCAGAGATTAATTCTACAATAGAGTTTTATTTGTATTTTCATTATCCCTCACATAAGAATTTATTTCTGCTGTTATTTTTTAGATCTTGTAAAGCAGGTAAATAGTTCATGTTGAAAATGTTGATGCTTATTCTACACAATCATTACATATTAAAATTTTAATATTCTATTTTATTGATCATTTTTTTTCTGTTAAGCACTCATTGCTTAATTTAATAGGACTCATTATTAATTAAAATTAATAATTTATCAACAAAAATTATCCTAGAAAATAAACGTGGGTGTTGCAGGCCTCCCTTATGCACATTTTCTAAAAATTTGCAGTGATTTCTGTGGGCTATGGAAGAAAAGACCTAAACAAACATACAAACCTCTTCTTTTGCAGAGAGGAGAATAAATCTTCAGTGATATGATGCAGTTTGAGTGAACCTGTATGCTCCACTAATGGTTTGAGAAAACATCGATGGGGAAGTCCACACAAAGTGTGGTATGTCACTAGTTTCCTGGCTGTTTTCCTAATACGAATACAAAAGGGCAAGCTGAAGAGAAATAAGTTACAAGTGGGAGAGTTAATAGTAAGTTGGTTTGGAATAAGTTCAATTACAGATAGCTCACAGCATGCGGGAGAAATCTTCTCAGGAGACAGATGCATGGCAAATGGTCCTTTTGTGTTAGTCTGTGCTAAATGCTTTACCTGACACTGTATCATCTATTTGTGAAACAGCTTTGTGTGATCAATATTATTATTGTTATTTCCCATGAAGAAATTTAGGCTCAAGACATTAAACAACTTATTCACATTCACAGAGATTTTTTTTCCTTTATTATTACAGTTTACAGTGCATAATCATTACATTTACTATGGGGAGTTGCTATGTGTGTAAAACACATCTTAATTCTTTTCTCACCCTCATCCCCTCCTCACCCTCCCCTTTCCTCCATCTCTTGATCTTCTATCTCTATCCTTCCTGTTATCTCTCTTTTATTTTGTTCTTTATTTATCTTTTGGTTTGTTGTGAAAGATAAACCATGTGAGATTTAAGCTTGTGTGTCTGAATCACTTAATGGTATGAATTGGAAGTCCATCCATTTTCCTACAAAAACTCAAGTTTATCCTTCTTTATGGAAGAGTAGTGCTCCATTGTATATAAATACCGCATTTTACTTATCTATTCACCTGTTCCTGGAGAACAACATTTAGCCATTATGAATGATACTGCTATAAACATGGATAGGCATAGGTTACTGCAATAGATGTCTTTAACTCTTTCTGGAAGATACTTATAAGGGGAGTAGCTGGGTCCAATTGAATTTCCATTTTTAATTTTTTGAGAAATCTGCATACTGATTTTCATAATGGTTGTATTTTGACAATATTTAGACTGATGAAGATTTAAAAATCAGGAAGTTTCTAATGAACTAAAATTTAACCTTTTTTCCCATCAGGTGTCTTTTTTTTTTCAGCTTTAATTGAGTTTATTGGTACATTTTAGGGATACAGTACAGTTACATTCATTGTTGGGATCTTGTACCTCTACATGACAAGTCTTGATTCTCATTTTTCCCCCTTACCTCTGCCCTCCCTTCACCCCCTCCTCCCCTCCCCATCTACAAACACTTTATTTTCATCTTTTCATTCTCTCACATTTTTTTCTTTTCCCTTTATACTCTTCCCCTACCCATCCCACCTTCCCTACACCTTTAGCTCCTTTCTTCCCATTTCTAAATGTCAGTAATCTTATTAGAATCTTATGGATGAACAAATCCTCAGTAGCACAGGAACTAGCAGATAGAATCAACAACTGGGATCTCATCTTACTAAAAAGCTTCTGTACTTCAAAAGAAACCATCAGCAGAACTAAGAAACAATCTACAATGTGGGAAAAAATTTTTACCAGCTGTTCCTCAGACAAAGAACTATTATCAAGGATATATAAAAACTCAAAACAATGAATCCCCCCAAATATAAAGACCCAATTCAAAAATGGGCATCCGAAATGAACAGACATTTCTCAGACAAAGAAGTAAAAGCAGCAAGAAAATATTTGAAAAAATGTTCCACATCACTGGTCATTCGAGAGATGCAGATGAAAACAACACTGAGATTCCACCTCACCCCACAAAGAATGGCTGCTATCAAGAAATCACACAATAACAAATGTTGGTGGGGTTGTGGGGAGAAAGGAACCCTTCTCCATTGTTGGTGGGAGTGCAGACTAGTGCAACCACTACGGAAATCAATATGGAGATACCTCAAAGAGCTTAGACTGGAGGTTCCATTTGACCCAGCCATCCCTCTGCTGGGTGTCTTTCCAAAAGAATTAAAAGAATCATATCACAGTGATATATGCACACCTATGTTTATAGCAGCACAGTTTGTAATAGCTAAATCTTGGAAACAGCCCAATTTCCCACCAGTTGGAGACTGGATAAAAATATGTTTTTTTTTCTATAAAATGGAATACTACTCAGCCATAAAGAATGAGAAATTAGAGTCATTCTTAGGAAAATGGATACATATTGAGGAATACTAAAGTGAAATAAATAAGTCACCCATGTA